TCCAATTTCCCATATGTTTGTTTTATTATATGATAAACTCAAGAATGGATTCAACCTAAGAGAAATTACCTGGATCTCTTCAATGGGTCTTTGTCACTTCTCACTTTGTAGTGAAAATATATGAATCTGCTTGTTGGTTTAAGGTTTGCACCCTTACTTTGTGTGACCTAGAACAGTTCCGGACATTCATCAATGAGCTGTGCTATAAGGTGTAAGGGGTAGGGGTCATGATTTCGATTTCCGAGTTGGAGACGAGATACTTCTGGTTCCAAGTTAGGGGAAGTGACTCTGTTTGTAGGGTTACGAGTGTACGTATAGACCAGACGCAACATTAGAGGTTGAATGCACGATCGCCAATCACCCACTTTTCCACAGCCAACTTTAAATTATCCACAACTGGAGATCTTTCAATTTCTTATCAACATACTTCAGCATTTTGTGTGTTTAATTCAGTTTTTGTGTGTTAATTTGAGTTGATAGGTAAAGTTTCGATCAAAAGACAAAAGACTTAATTACATGCAGAATCAGGGTCATTTCATTTGTTTTTGTTGAAAATGCTAACCTACAGTATAAGCTAGAACATTGAAAAACAATGGCATTTTACACATTATTTGACAGTAAGAGTCTGGTGCATGTTATATTGTATTCAATCATTCATTTTCCGATCCGCTTAATCCCTACAAGGGTCGCAGGGGTTGGTGGAGCCTATACCAGCTGTCTTCGGTCAGTAGGCGGGGGGCACCCTGAACCGGTTGCCAGCCAATTGCAGGGCACACAGAGACGAACCACCTTCCGCGCTCACACTCACACCGAGGGACAATTTTGAGCATTCAATCAGCCTGTCATGCATGTTTTTGGAATGTGGGAGGAACACATTATATTTTAATTACAGTAATATATTTTGAAAACAGACTGTGTATTATTGTCTAAACATTTTATTTTAATATGAATGTACAATAAAAACGTAATATAGCAAGTCAGAATAAACCAATGGGCATATGTTTTCGGTGATCTGTTGAAATGGGGAATTAAAAAAAAAAAAAAAAAAAAAAGGATTTTCACCTGTCTGTTTTTTTTATGTGTTTCAGACTGAGTAGATTCTTTAGGCTGGAACTCAATCACTGTCTACCTCTCTGAAACTTGTGAGGGAGGTACCACTTGCCTAGCATTAGTTCACCTTCAAGGCACTCAAAATGTTTTTTACAATGACAACTAATTAAAAATAAACTAATAAAAATCAGTTTGCAAACTGACCCTTTGGCTTCCTCAAAGTATTTCTGTATCTGTCTGAGTAAAGTCTGTCGCTCACTAGCCTTGCTGTATAAGCCATTAGTTGAAAACTCTCAGTCTGCAGTCATCTGGCCAATAATACACAGACGATTATCTACTGTAACTTGTAGATTTTGGTGAAGCTTAACGTGACTTTTAAAAATAGAAAGGAGACATAAAATGGGAGCAATGCATGAGCCCAGCGAAATAAGTGATTTGCTGGCAGTGATCTTTTGTACAGTTCAACTGAAGACTTGAACACAAATGCTTAGTATAAAATAAAATATATAAAAATACACTTGGTAGTTCGCCGCAGAATTTCATGATCGGAAAATTAAATCTGAAGGTTGTAGCTTGTTATAAATTCATAATAATGATACATTCTGAAGGTTGAATTGGAAATGACATCGGAGAGGGTCATAATTTAAAACATTGCATGCAAATGACTCCGTTGAATATTGCATGGCTTGTGGGATTCATCAACACATTATATTACTGCAGAGTAATTCAATTTCATGAAGCAAACAATATTACATCCAAATAAGCTTTGATGGTTACATTATATTTCAATGCGTTCTATCCGAACTGCAGCAATGAAAAAGACGCTCCTTGTACAATGCCGAGGATATCCTTGCTGCCTCTTCGAAATAAATTAAGAGTACAACACCGGAAGCACACACTCCAAATGTGCACTCAACCAAACCTCTGGTTGGGATATCAACTCCGCTGACTATCTTTGACTGGTTACTACTCAGGTTGCTCTCCCTCTAGCCACTGTAAATATGGAGCGGCCGTGAAAGGCTATATTATCGTACTCATGGCACTATAACTTCATTACTCTAATTTCTGTGGACTATATATATATATATATATATATATATATATATATATATTTTTTTTTTTTTTTTAAGCATCGTATAATATTAATCATTTTCTAAACATTAATGTGAAAAATTTCACATGGCTGCTTTGCTTGTTTTAATTGTGGTGACTGCTGGAACAGAACAAGAACAATTGCTGCTTGTCTGTCGATCTATCAATGGAACTTCTTCTGAGGTTGGATTTCAAAACAAATTTTTCCACAAGAAATAATTGACAGTGAATTCCAGAGTCATATATTCATCAACTATACAAGAAATTTTATAAGCAGTGTTTTAGCATTATTCACAGCAATACTTGTAAAAAGAAGTCAATTATTGTAAGATCAAAACATGACAATAAAAGTATCTTGAGTTTCTTGACAAATGAGGATGGAGTCATCAATGTCAGTTCTCATTTTAAAGCATTCTTAATCGTGACGGAAATGTGAAATGAAGTTCATCATCATTCAGTGTAAAATCGATTAGTATTCCACCACATGTGATTGAGAGGAAAAACGGCTGTTTTATGATGGTGGGCAATATACTAAGGCTGCACTCGGAAAAAGGAATCCTGTCTTTGGCCTTCCTTTTTCAATCCTCAGCAAACGCACGTTATCAATATATGTTTACACAGCTTCTGGCATTATTTCACTTTTTTTTTCTTTTGCCGAGCTGTGTCAGACCCCTGTAGAGAAGTCCACAATCAACCAGTTTTTCGCCACTCGCCTCACCAGGGCCCGGTTCTCTCGGTGGAGCGAGTGTTAACCTCGAGTGATGTGTTTTGTGCTGTGCATGACAATCGATGGCTCGGTCCCCCGAGGTTGACTTAAAACTTAATTCTTCAGCATGTAACACATTTCCATTATGACTATCCAAGTGAACAAAACATTGTCCCAAAGGCTTGGGTGGATGGAGGACTGGTGTGAAAAAGCTTGATTGGCCTGCGAAGACCCCTGATCTTAACCCCATCAAACACAATTCAAAAGCATGACAGCCGTATCGATCCCGTGGTATTTCGTTGTTGATACTCGGACAAGTATCAATTGGGTATTGACAACGCTCATAAAGTATCAATATGAAGGGTGCACTGTTTGGAAACTCACAGCATTGTTGCTGTCTGGTTATTCAGAGTGCCAGACTCTTTGTGTGCTTCAGGGTGCTCTGGCCGCTCTGACTGTGGACACGAAAACGCGATACAAGCAAGATGTGACGGTTGTGGGCTGACAGTGGATTTGACAACAGAACGTTCACTAATTTAAAAGAAAGGGAGCCTGCCCGCGCTGCCTCTCGGAACACTCACACTCTCAGAGTGGCCGTCAGATTGATTGCCACATTCCCCAATGCACCATTATTAATAAATGAAAAAAAGTGCATGTGTCATTTCCACAATTGTTCCTACATACAGGCTGTATGAAAGCTGTTAATATGCTGCTGTTCAACACTCGAGGTTGCTCTGTAAATGCAGGAACATGTTGAAGTTCATGCATTTTACAGTTGACTGATCGACTGATGAATTGATAATTATCTTTATTATTTATAATTTAAGTATGATTTGTTTTGATGAATAAACCTGTTGTCATTTGACAAAATGTTCCTTTTGGTTTATTCATTTATATTTGATGTAATTCACAGAAGTGGGCATGTTACCCTGTTTTGCCCATCGTTCATCCGCAATCTGGGCTTCCTTCCATCGTCGTCTCTCCGTCCTTATTCATAAAATAATCATCGTCCGTCCTCACCCGTCGTCGTCCTTTGAAACCCCTTCCGTTCTTACATTTCGACAGTCCGTCCCCTCTTCCCCACCCTAGCCCCGCCCTAAAAAAAAACGCTGTGGGAAGGAGGCTGACACGTGAATCCTTATTAGAGTCAGTATTTTTTTAAGACTGGCAGTAAAAAACGTGTATGATAGGTATGCACACCATTGGATTTATTGTGAAACAATGTGGACCACGTTTCAAACAAAAACTATAAATTATGAATAGCGTGGACAACTTTACACACAAAAAATATGTTTGTTTTTTTCTTGTTCGACCCCCTGCTGCTTCTCCTCCTCAAACTGAGGTCTTTTGGGGTTCAGCGATCACTCCTTAAGACCTTCTATGACTCTGTGGTAGCTACAGCCATCCATTATGGCTTAGTCTGCTGTTCGTGCAGCATCTCAGCCCGGGACAGAGAGAGACTGGACTGACTGGTCAGGAGGTCCAGCTCTGTCCTGGGCTGCTCCCTGGACACTCTGGAGGAGGTGGGCAACAGGAAGATGCTGGCTAAGCTAACAGCTATGATGGACATAGTAATGTGTCCCCATACAGGCCACCCTGACAGCACTGGGCAGCTTCCTTCAGCCAGAGACTGTTACACCGGCGCTGCAAGAGATACCGCCGCTCGTTCCTGCCGACTGCTGTCAGGCTGCTGAATAAATACACGTGAAAACCTGGATTCACCCCCCAAGACAATAAATCCACTGGTGTGCACAGCCACCTTATGCAGCATATATGCAGTTACATATATTCTTATGTCTTATATTTTATATTTCATTCTGTACTGAGGCAGCCCGGTGGGCCAGTGGTTTGCGCGTCGACCTCACAGTGCAGAGGTCGTGGGTTCGATCCCGGCTCCGGCCTCCCTGTGTGGAGTTTGCATGTTCTCCCCGGTCCTGCGTGGGTTTTCTCCGGGTACTCCGGTTCCCTCCCACATTCCAAAAACATGCATGGCAGGCTGATTGAGCACTCACAATTGTCCCTTGCTGTTAGTGTGAGTGTGAGTGTGAGAGTGGATGGTTGTTCATCTCTGTGTGCCCTGCGATTGGCTCGCAACTGGTTCAGGGTGTCGCCCGCCTACTGCCCGAAGACAACTGGGATGGGCTCCAGCACCCCCCGCGACTCTTGTGAGGATAAAGTGGAAAGGAAAATGGAGGGATTCTGTACTGTGTACAGTTCTTGTTTTTTTTTGTTTTGTTTTTTTTTGTGCATGCAAATACTTTTTTTTCTACTGTCTTCCTCCCAAATTCCACTTCTGTAAATTGTGAATTTCTCCATTGTGAGACAATAAAGGTTTTCTTATCTTATCTTACCTTAAACTGCCCCTTGTAGATGTGATAACCCAAGAAAGACATGTTCCCCTTAAGGAAGACCAGGGTGGTCCTCTGGCCAAAGCTTTGTCGCCAGCTGTGGAAAAAAACCTTCACAGCAATGGAGCTACAGGGTGGAGTGTTGTATTCAATAAGTCCACCCTCCTTTTTAAAAATGTTCTCATCCTCCATCTTCCGTCCCCAAAATGGGCATCCGTCCGGGATGGACGAACGGACGGACCATTCCATCCCAGGGACGGAATGCCCATCTCTGGTAATTCACATTGATGTATTTATTTATTTATTAATGATTTATTAATATAAATATTGTTACCCATCCTTCTTTCCATTGTTTTCAATGCATGTTTGTAATTGTCTGATATTGCCCATCACTATCACCAGTGTCTCTTATTTGAAGTGCATTTGTGTGTTTTCATCGAGGCTATAGTGTGATTGCTATGTTTGCACTCCCCCAAACGAACCCAGCCATGCAACTGACTTTGGGCTTACCGGTGAGCCTTATATGTTAAACCCCAATAGCCCAATGTGCAGCCTATTTTACAATATACTGCAAAAACACATACTGTATATTTCATCATTCAAGTCTTTCTTCAAAAGGGCAGTTAAAATCCTAGACAGGAAACCAATGCGCTTCCACAATTGTATAATTAAAAAAAAAAAAAAAACTTCACATTATCGACCTGAATAGCTTCCAGATCTTTCATTCATTCAGAGGAGAAACAATGACGGACGGAGAACGAGGGCCTTGACCAGAGGTGATTGCAATCTACAGTGCTGGTCAAAATAATAGCAGTGCAATGTGACTAACCAGAATATCCCTGGTTTTTAGTATATTTTTTATTGTTACATGCCAGACAAGTTACCAGTAGGTGCAGTAGATTCTCAGAAAACAAACAAGACCCAGCATTCATAATAGGCACGCTCCGAAGGCTGTGCAATTGGGCAAATAGTTCAAAGGGGTGTGTTCAAAAAAATAGCAGTGTGGCAACCAATCTCTGACTTCATCAATTTTGGGGAAGAAAAAAAACAAAAACAGGTATGAATCAGGTGTGAATCAGGTAGCGCCTATTTAAGGATGATGAAGCCAGCACAGGTTGAACATGCATTTGAGGAAAATGGGTCGTTCAAGACACTGCTCCAAAGAACGGCGTTCTATGATTAAAAAGTTGATTGGAGAGGGAAGAACCTATAAAGAGGTGCAAGGAATTGTTGGCTGTCCAACTAAAATGATCTCCAATGCCTTAAAATGGGTAGAAAAACCAGAGACACGTGGAAGAAAACGGAAGACAACTATTAAAATGGACCGGAGAATAACCAGAATGGTAAAGGCTCAGCCAATGATCAGCTCCAGGATGATCAAACACAGTCTGCAGTTACCTGTAAGTGCTGTGACAGTTAGAAGACGTCTGTGTGAAACAAATTTATTTTCAAGAATCCCACGCAAAGTCCATCTGTTACAAAAAATGCATGTGCAGAAGGGATTACAATTCGCCAAAGAGCACATCAACTGGCCAAAAGAAAAATGGAGGAACATTTTGTGGGCTGATGAAAGTAAAATTGTCCTTTTTGGGTCCAGGGGCCACAGACCGTGTGTGAGACGACCCTCAAACTCTGAATTCAAACCTCAGTACACATTGAAGACAGTGAAGCATGGTGGTGCAAGTATCATGGTCTGGGCATGTTTCTCCTACTCTGGTGTTGGGCCCGTTTATCACATACCAGGGATCATGGATCAGTTTGTGTATGTCAAGATACTTGAAGAGGTTATGTTGCCTTATGCTGAAGAGGACATGCCCTTGAAATGGGTGTTTCAACAAGACAATGACCCCAAACACACCAGTAGACGAGCAAAGTCTTGGTTCCAAACCAATAAAATTAATGTTATGGAGTGGCCAGCCCAATCCCCAAATCTCAACCCAATCGAGAACTTGTGGGGTGATATCAAAAATGCTGTTTGTGAAGCAAAACCAAGAAATGTAAAAGAATTGTGGAATGTTGTGAAGCAATCATGGAGTGAAATAACAACTGAAAGGTGCCACAAGTTGGTTGACTCTATGCCACACAGATGTGAAGCAGTTATAAAAAACTGTGGTCATGCAACTAAATATTAGGATTGCTAAATCCTACCTTTTTTTGGGGGGGGGGGAATACAAAACAGTTTTGAGTTTGTACAGTCAACAGCAGACACTGCTATTCTTTTGAACACACCCCTTTGAACTATTTGCCCAATTGCACAGCCTTCGGAGCGTGCCTATTATGAATGCTGGGTCTTGTTTGTTTTCTGAGAATCTACTGCACCTACTGGTAACTTGTCTGGCATGTAACAATAAGAAATATACTAAAAACCAGGGATATTCTGGTTAGTCAGATTACACTGCTATTATTTTGAACAGCACTGAAACAAGACAAAAGTTCAGTCAAATGGTCAACTCTGTAAAAGGAATGCAATCTTGGAAGAAGCTGAATAAAACTGTGTGTATTCGTTTGCGTTGGATTTCAAAAGATAGCAGATCATTTTCACAACATGGTTGCCAGATACCTACATGACCTTTGCAAATGCCAAGTGAAATGTAATGTGGGCATGAAAATTTGTCGACTTATCTCAACCAGCGGTATGCAATACAAATAGCAACAAACCTGAAGAATAAACAGTGGCAGTTGCCGTCCAAGGTAATGGGACTGACCGAAAAGGTGTTGCTATCTTATTTATTAAAAAACTCAATAATTTCTCATGGCGCCCCGTAGTCCAGTGGTTAGCATGTCGAATTCACAGTGCAGAGGTACTGGGTTCAATTCCAGCTCCAGCCTCCCTGTGTGGAGTTTGCATGTTCTCCCCGTCCCTGTGTGCATTTTCTTTGGGTACTCCGGTTTCCTCCTGCATTCCAAAAACATGCATGGCAGGTTAATGGAACTCTAGAGTGTTCAATCAGCCTGCCATGCATGTTTTTGGAACGTGGGAGGAAACCGAAATACCCGGAGAAAACCCACACAGGGCCAGGGGAGAACATGCAAACTCCACTGAGGAAGGCCGGAGCTGGAATCGAACCCTCCACCTCTGCTTTGTGAGGCCGACACGCTAACCAGTCGATCACCAGATATTAATTACCCAAGGGGAGCCTAAGGTGATTAATATCTTAAAATTATACTTTATGTGTAATAAATATTTGAAAACTAACAAATATTCAATCAATCAATTTATGATTTTGAAAGAAAATAACACATTGGTTGTACATCTTGTACCTGCAAAACTATTTAATCTAGATATTGTAAGCTGAATGACTGTACAGAGACATGAAAGACAAACATAAAATACATTTGCAATATTTCATAAAGTTCTTCTTGTGACACATTTCTGACTGTTGTTACAGGTGCGGATTATTTATTTATTTGACATATTTCTGAATTGAAATACGCATTTGTAAATGGTTTTAATAATGGCCCCATACAGATCACCAGATTGCAACCAGAGTCAGTGCGCTGTTTTCTGAGCTAAAACATCCTGGCTACCAACTAAGCAGCCACCACTTTTTTTTTTAAATAGATTACGTAAAACTGAATAGGCTTCTTCTTTCAGTGCATCAATACTTGCATTCCCGAATTGTGTCCCTGTGTGTGAGCGCACATCTGCACCTGCCATCCCCCACCATCACAACTGTATTTATTTTTTGAGTTTGTGTGTGTGTTGCATTTCCTTTTCAGTCTGATGACTTTCTTTTTCTCCTTCTGTCCAACCCATCGTGTTCGTTGTCTTTCTTCCAACTGAGGCCACCAAACAATATTGCCTTCCAGTGCTGTTGATGATCATCTTCACGATTCACCAGTGACAAAACGTTGACCAGCATGGCTTCATTCATTTTCATACTCTGATAATGCATTGACCATACAGTATGCTGACAGATTTGGCCATGTAAAGGGCGGTACGCGTGGGTTCCCAATGTTGCCTTTTTTTTTTTCTCCATACGTTAACGTTTAGCTTGAATCTTACACACTCTTTGGTAAGTGAGAACCCATGTGTTCAAGCCTTTCTGTTTTTCCATGAAATAATGATCAGGGCAAACTGTGGTTGTTTGTTACCTTCTCTTAAAAAAAAAAAAAAAAAAAAATTAAAAAAAGGAGCGAAAGAAAAAAGCAGAGCATAGGCAGAATGATGTAGAGAGCGTATTGTATTGCCGCTTCGGGATAAATAAATCAGATGCTCATCAGCACTGTCGGGAGCTGAATGCTTTGAGTTGTGACTTCAAAACGACACAGCAACTTGTACTTGTCAGGGAGCGTTTGCCTGTTGTATCCTCTTCAGAAAACAATGCTGTTGCACTCATTCTGACAACACACAAAAATGATGCTCTGAAAGAGGGCCATAGATGCCAGAAACACTTTGTCATTGTACTCCACCAAAAGTGGATAGAATAAAACTGGATGCTTCTTGATAAGCGAGTTCAAATTTTCAAATTCATATCGTCAAGTAGAGTTTACAGTATATCGGCTTTAATCACCAAAGAGTTGTAAAGGGCTTCACAAAGCCACAATTCTCAAAGAGCGACAGCATCCCCTTGTATAAACTCCTCATCCCAGCTAGAAAAAGCTCCCAGCAAAGGCACTTGGGAAAGAGGAAGATATTTTGAGAAGGGAACACAGATTCAGGGATCTCTCCCCCCCAGCCTTCCCAAGATGACCAGGCTGCATTGGATGCCGTCATGTCATGATTCACAAAATCAGTAATTTTATTGTGTTATGAGAAATTATTCATTCATTCATTCATTCATTTTCCGACCCGCTTTATCCTAACTAGGGTCGTGGGAGGTGCTGGAGCCTATCCCAGCTGTCTTCGGGCAGTAGGAGGGGGACACCCTGAATCGGTTGCCAGCCAATCGCAGGGCACACAGAGACGAACAACCATCCACACCCACACTCACACCTAGGGACAATTTAGAGCAGGGGTGCCCAACCAGTCTACCGCAGACCGATCCCAAGGTGACCGTGTGGTGTGTTGGGGGGTCTTTTTTTTTTTTTTTTTAAATGACATGACAGGAAGTTAGTGTCGCCAAACTTAGCGACTTTGACACTATATTTACTGAGTATTCAGATCCTCTCGAGCAACTCGTTTTTCAAAAAAAGTGACTGCTAACAATCTAGCGACTTTTTCTGGTGTTGTTTGAGACTTTTGGAGTCTGTGTGGTGAAAGTACGTTGTTCTCAATGAGCAGCGCCGGGAGCTGTTGTGGCCCCACCCGCAAATGAAGACGCTGCTGGCTGATCGCGCCAGGTGCACAATCTGGGCTGGATGTAAATGTAAAACTTTTCTTTGTCTGAAATAAATTTAAAAAAAACATCAACAAATAAAAATTACAAAAGAAAAAAAGATGAGAAAAAAAACATCCCCCCAAGTAAATCACATGCACTGATGACATCTTTGAGCAACGTTTAGGACAGCCAATAGCTACTTTCATTACCGATGAGTTAGAAACGCTGCTGGAAGCGATTACTGCGGTTCTTTGGCTGGTTCAATGCGGCTCCCGGGCTTTCACACGACAAGCGTTGAAAATGCCTCAGTGGTGGCAATAGCCCCGTTCACCGCCCCGTCCGCCGCGGGGGGGGGGGGGGGGGTTTAGATGTTGACACTGGACAGGTAGATCTCCGGAGGTTGGCTCCTCGAAAAGTAGTCCTCAGGACAAAAAATTTTGGGCACCCCTGCTGTAAACTGTCCCTAGCTGTGAGTGTGAGTATTTGGCTGGCAACCAGTTGTGGGTGTGCCCCGCCTATTGCCCAAAGAAAGCTGTGATAGGCTCCAGCACGCCCCGTGCCCCTTTTGAGGATAAGAAAATGGATGGATGGATATGTACCTTAAATATAATAATTACAAAAAAGCCACAACTATTAATTTATGATGACTTCAAAAAGAGTTTTTTGTTTCGTGTAATGACGTCTGTGAATATGCTATTTAGTCAATGTATCATAAAATTAATAACATTAAATTGTTTGTATTAATTCATGCATTGCTGTTGAAGCCAGATAATATATTTTAAGGGGAAGATGTTCTTTAAAATTAAAATGAAATTGTAAATATCCTTCCAGAAATTTAGCAGAATTTAGCAGAAAAATAGGCTATCCTTCACAAAAACAACACTTGCTTACACAGTATCAATGACTTTTTTTTTGACCTGACAAAAAATAAATAAAATCAACCTTCCACCAATAATAATATATCTATGAATTGTTTTAAATTGCACTTCTGTCCCTTTATATTAATCAAGTATTTTGTTGGCAAATTCCAAATGTTGATACAGTTTGAAAAAAAAAAAGATTATTCCAGTTGGGAACCACATACACTTTGAGATGCAACAGCTCTCTGAAACAATGCAATAGCATTAGCAGGCAAAAGCTAGCCTATGTACATGGTAGACTCACTAGTTATTGTATAAAACGGGACACACTATTGCAGTCAGTCATAAAGAACTGTAGCTTATTACACTCACCACCACTGTCTTGCCCCTGCGCCCCCCCCCCTCTCTCTCTCTCTCTCCCTCTCTCTCTCTCTCTCTCTCTCTCTCTCTCTCTCTCTCCCTCTCTCTTTGTGACTCAGAGCATTGAAGACGGTCAATTGACACTGACTGAAAAATGCTGATTTTGATGAATCACATATCTTTCAAAAGAAGGGATGTTGGACCCATCGTTTGAGTGTAATTTAATGAAATAGATTTTGTCCTAAGCATTTCAAACATCACACCAGTTTTCTCTGCGGTGGTGCTGGGACAGGCCCCTGAGTGGAAAAAATTATATTCTTGGGCACAAGGCTGGGTAATATATCAATACCTTCATCCAGTGCATGTCCTCCGATGAATCAGCAGCAGCTCTGTGCAAAGCATTTCTTTGCCCAGTGTGGGCATCTGTGATTGTGATGAACTACATGGACACAATGCTCTTTTGAGTCATCAGCCACAGGAGGTAAAGGCCAGCCTCGTGTGCAAGGTGAGTACTTCACCATACAAGATGGGGATATATTTTTCCAGTACCTATCCCTCCTGTTTGATATACCGCAGTGACACGAAAGATGTGTGGGTGTTTACAGGTGCCTTACCAACCAACAATGTGACTGATGGTTTTATTCCAGTAAGAGCGTAGTGTTCTGTAACTACCCTCCCACCATTCGCGATGCCATAAAATGTGATTTTGTACTCATTGATGTGGCAGAAATGCTTTTTCAGGTCCTGTGCAAGAGTCACAAAAATGTAAATGCATATCAGTGGAAACACATCATGGCCATTGATACTGTATAAACATCAATTCAACAGTAGATCAGGGGTGTCACACTCATATTGTCGCGGGCCACATCATGACTTTGAACCCCTATAAATGTGTGATCGCATGATGTGATGTATCTATGTTTCTCCA